AGTAAATTTTTAAATGCCATAGAAAAAAATAGTTTTGAATTGCAAAGCACGTATTCTCTGGCGAAAAATAATATTACGTCAAGTACTTTTTGGTAGACCTTATACGACTTTTGAAGTTTTCTATTAATGTTCTCTTTGTGTGCTACTGACGTTATTTTTTCTTTTTTGTTTTGCTTTCATAAAGCAACAAAAATAAAAATAATAAAGAAATATAAGAGAAATATATTTACTGCTACTGCTACCATATGTTTATGTTGCTTTTCTTTATATATACATATATTTCTGTAAACATGTTGAGCAACACTAACTAACATAACAGTAGATGAAGAGAAATGTAAAGAGAAAAGTAAATGAATATATTTACAATTTAAATTTACCAAAAAAAAAAAAACAAAAATGAGAAAAAGAGTAATAACAAAAAAAAAAAAAACTACCTACTAAAAATAGAATAAAAAAAACAGAAAAAGAAAAAGCATGAGAAATTTTAGAATTTTTCGTTTCCTCTATCCTTTACATTTTCATTTTTATATTTTTACATGTGTACAACAAAAAGCAAAAAAAAAAAAAAAATATTTAGGAATGAGGTTTGGTTTGATTATAGACGGAAGAAAAAGAAAAATGCCTCTTTATGTTTAACAACTAAAGACCAGAAAAATAAAAAACCAAGTTATGGTATGTGTTTTTTTTTTCCTGTCTTTCTCTTCTGAATTTTTTTGCTTTTCTAATGTTATATTTTTTTTTGTTTTCTTTGAATTTTTGTCATAAAGTTGGGCAAGCAAGAAGGCATTTAAGACATTTTACGTGGCATAAAAAAACATAAAAGGATGATGATTTTCACATATCTCTTCTTCAGTATCTGTTTATGTATAAATTATTTTTTCGTTCTCTTTTCATATTTTATTTTCCTTGTTATTCTTCATCCACAAAATTTCAATTTCATGTAATAGGAAACTTTTGAGGATATGATTTAAAAAAAAAAAATTAAAAAAAATAAGAAAAGGAAATTTTTTTTTTTTATGTATTTTGTGGGATAAAAATTTTTTGTATCCATACACGTTTAAATATTATATTATGTGAGTACCTAAGCTCATATGCCTATATTGTGCTTACATGTAAGGACAATGATGTTACATAATAATATAAATATGGAATGAATGAATATACATATATATATATAAACACATACATACACATAGATTTATGTATATTTTGTTATTTATTGTATGTTTTTAAAAGTACCTCTAAGCTCGATAAAAATATACTTAATAAACATGGTATATACAACATAATAAAAATTCCTGTAACAATTATAATAAGGAAATTAAAAAAAAAAATAAAAAAAAAAAGGCAGGAGAAAAAAAATTGTTAAAAATTTTCTTGACTATGCCAACAATGTACATACATATATGGTTTATATGTACATACATATGCACTCTCAAATTCAAGAATTGTATGTTTAGAATATTCGGTCGGATGGTGTGTGCTAGTAAGTGTAAATTGCTGACATAAGTACACTTTATTTAACAATATTTTTATCTTAAAAATCTTAGTATGATCTGCCGATGTTTGAAAAAAAAAATATTGTATTTTTCGTCAGTTATTTGTTACTATTTTTATCTAGCATGTATATATGTATAGTCCACTAATATTTAGGTATGCTATTCGCGTTTACAACATAGACATTTAACAATAGTTTTGTTTTATCAATGTGATAGGCCTACTGTTTAATTTTTGATTATTGTTATTTATGGAATATGCTCTTCATTTATATCTTATATCAATTTATAGATTGTTTTGATTGCTGCCCTTGAACAGTACAGTGCCATGGTATTATCTATACAAGTTTTTAAGAGGTATTTAATATTAATACCAACCGTCATACACAATAACATATTATACTTATCTATATTTTAATTCGATTTCTTATGCATGTAAATTTTTTAGCAGATTTTTATTTTTAGCACTTTCAGAACATCTATTCGTACATCTGCATTGAAAACTCTTGCTATCTTTATTCTTACTCATCCTACTCCCACGATTAGAATCTAAAGCCCCTTAAAAATGCTAGAAATGCAATATTTTGAAAATTCACTATATCAAAACCTTGTACAAAAAAAAATTTTTAACCAAATGTTGGGCTTATTAAATACAGTCGATACACGCTTAAATATCCAACAGAAAAATGTTCAACAGTTTGTGATTTTAAAAGAGTTGTGAAATTAAGCGAGCTTATAAAATATTTTTACGTACTTACTTTGAAAATAGCTAAAAACGTTTTTTTAACAAAATCTTAAACAGATCGAAAAACTGTTAAATTTAACCGGAGTTAATTTTAAGTGTGTTTCGCTGTAGCTTATGTTATAAGAACAATTATTTTTTTATTTTCCGTCTCACAAGGAATTTATTGTCCCTCAAAATTAGAACAAATTAAAATTTTCGGCAATTTTGAAACTGTCATATTTTTGTAATTGAAGATAAAGAAGTAACGGTAAATTTTCGTTTATTAGAAAGTATACAAAATTCATTTGAGCTGATCATATCAACCCCTAAAAATATGCAATAATGAACATATGTGATGTTAGTAAAATAAAATAAGCCTGTTTTTTTTTTTGTTTTTCAATGTTGTCCTAATTGTTTGGGAGAAATGCTACTTAGCAAACCATTAGTTTGATCTAAAGTATTGTATATTGGATATTTGACTATTAAATGCAGTAAAAGTGCTCGAAAACTGCACAAAAATTTACACGAAATTTACGCGGTTTATTAATATTAAAAATTTACCTCTGACGATTGTTCTAATTGATAGAAAAGGTATAAATTACAAACCCCTACATTATTAAAAATTTTTTTAATTGGAAAAACTCTTAATACTTAAATTTTATTCAAAATTAGATTTTACTATAGAAATTTTTTTATATCCTTAATGATAATTATTAATTAACAATTAAATAACGTAAATCAATAAAAAGTTTTGAAAAATTAAAATTTATTTTAATAACAATAATTTTACTATATTACTTCGAAATTATTAATAAAAATCCTAACAAACCTGTGAAATGAATTTGATCACACTAGATTTTTCAAAATTGTTTTAAATGCCCTACCATAAAAATTCCATGTTTTGTTGTCTTAAATTATTTAAGAGTGTCATTTTTATAATCCAGTATCACATTATAAGTTTTTTAAGGAAAATATGCATGCAATTCAGAAAGAAAATTTCTATGAAAATGTTAAGAAATTTCCAACACTAAAAAGTCATAAATTTTAGTGTACATAAATACAATAAAACAATGAATTTTATTACTTAATTAAAATATTAAATTCGTTTATAACAGCAAAAAAATTTCATTTTAATCACTTAACTGCTACCATTAAACTTTGTTATAAAATGAAGGAAAGAAAAAAATTAACATGATTGCAAAATTAAATTTTTTATTCAACTATAATTTTGCGCCTTTTTTTTTTGCCATTATATAGTTTCAATAATAATTAACGCGCCATAATATGAAATTTTTTTTTATTTTCAAATTTATGCGAACGACTACAAAAAAAAATTTTTTTTTATTATCAAAGTAAATTTTTTGCCGTTCTAGTTAATTTTCGATTATAATCGTATGATTTGTAATAATTTTTGTATTATTTTTGGATTTAATTTTGTAATTAAAAGCAATAATTATGAATGAAAGAAGGTGTTCTTAACAATGTTCTTAAAATAGAATTTGTAAATTTTTGACTTAAAATCTTTTATCGTTCATTTCTGGCTCGTCTTATTTTCTCTTGTCACTCTAAAACAAGTCAAAATTCTTGTGATAGAATTCAGAAAACAAATACTAAAAATAAGTAATGAATGTATGTACTTTGCTTGTATAATTTTTGGCGAAAAAAATAAGAAACTACAATTAAAAACAAGAAAAACTTAATTTTGTTTTTTGATAAAAATTGTGACTTAACACCTTCGTTCACTTATGTACTTTGTTATTTTTTTTTTCAATTTTTGTTATTATTATTTTAAACTTTAACTTTTAGCAAAGATGATGAAATTTTATGGAGTGAACCATTTCAATTACTCTTCGAAATTTACAGAAAAAATATTCATATAGATAGGCCATATTGTCACATATGCATATTTGAATTTATTGAGCTATGAATATGGAAACTGTAATTTAGAGTAACATTAAATTGCAAAATAATGAGCATTTGAAATTGTCTATAAAAATTTAACTCGTTATTAATAATTATCTACATATATACTAGTATTTTATGCTTATTACTAACATTAATCAAGTGCGTGTATTAAGACACAGTCACTGCTACAATAATATACAAAAAAAATCTACGTAAAGAATAATTTATTGAAAAGTTGAAGATCATTGACAAAATCTTCGGGCTATTAATAGAAATAGAATTTAATAAAATAAAATTTTTAATACTTAATTCAAAAGAAAAATATTTAAAAAGCAAAATAATATTAAAAAATTTATTATAAAATTATGATGCCATTAAAATTAAAATTTAAGAAAAATTATTAATTTTATGGGTGTTAAATAAATCGAAAAAAAAAAAATCAAATTGACAAATTGCTGCAAATAAAAATAACTTGCCTTCAATAATCCGCTGAATGCTTATATTGACATTAATATATATATATTACAAACATATATATATATATATATATATATATATATATATATATATATTTATAAAATATTTATATTTATAAATTAAGAATGAATTGCATAAATTTTAAAGACTTAAAAATCTTTTAATACATTCTTAAATATTAAAATATATTTTCTTTTTTATTTTTAATCATAATATAAAATGTGATCAAATTTTTGCTGCTGTATATATCTGCTATAAGCGAACATACATATGTATATAGAAAATGATGTGCCTCAAAAATAATTCGATTTGCTAATAATTTTTTTAATCAATTTTTCAAAAAAAACAAAAAACAAAAAAAAAAAAATTCTTTCATTTTCTTTAATGAATTTTTTCAGATTTAAAAATTCTCAGCAAGACTCTAATAGTAAAAGTCTACCAAATTTAGAAAATATTAACAGATATAATAAATTTCACTCCTTTAATAATATCAACAACAGTTTATCCAGTTTATTAAAAACTCAAAATCAATATAATAATAATCATTACCCAGTAGATAATTGTCGACAATCAGGCGACAAAATTGAAATAATTACAAATTCTGAATCAATTGTTCAAATAAGAAATTCACCAATATCATCATCATCACCAATAACAACAACAGTAACAACAATATCATCAGAACCATTACCATATTATAATAACTCTTATACATTAAATAATTCTAATAAAACTTTATCGTCAATACAACTAAATGAAACACCTTCCCCATATTATTTATATAATCATCATCAATTTCATGACACATCATCAACAGTAAAATCACAAGCACAAATAAACACATCATCATCATCATCAGCAACATCAATATCAATATCATCGTTATCATTAGCACATCGACTAGAACGTTTTAATAAAATAAGAAAAAATTTAGTAGCATCGGCAACAACACAACAACACCAACAACAACAACAACAGAGTAATAATAATGAAAAAAATTTTTTCATATCAGATAAGAATAATATTAAAAAATTAACAAATAACAGTATAGAAAAAAACATTGAATGTGATGGTAATAAACTCGATGATAAGAGTAAAAAAATTGAACAAAATAATCAAAAAGAAAATAGTAGCAATGATTGTATAATAAATAAAAAAACTGAAATAAATAAGGTACAAAAATTTAAGAAAATTATTAATAAACCATTTAAATATTTAAATAAATTAACAACAACTACAACAACAGTATCAGGTGAAAATAAAAAAAATTTATTAATTAAAAGTACATCTACTGAAACAAATCATACAATATTGCAAAATAAATCAAATTTAATTGATAATCGATCTACAAAATCATTATTACAAACAAATTATTTAAATACTAAACAACAATCATTCGAAAATATAATTTTGCAACATCAAAATCAAAGTAACTATTATGAAAAATGTGACGACAATAAAGGTTATCAATTAAATAAAATTGATTCTTCGAGAAATTCAAATAATTCACGTGGAATTGAAAATAATTACAATATTCAAATACAAAATAGTAATTCAAATGACCGAATCAATTATAACAGTCAAAGACCTCATTTTTTTTTTAAATCATATAATCGAATAAGTAGTGAATCTGATTTAGACAAAGTAAAACATATTATTGATTTACATTCAATCAATAATAATAAAAATAAAAACTGCATAATAAACAACGATAATAATTATAATAGCAACAGCTACAAAATAAACGACTACAATAATACAACTAATAATAAGAGTTGTAGCAGTAGTTGTATATTTTTACATTGCCCAAGTTGGTCTTATAATACTACAAATAATAATAATAATAATAATGAAAAACATAATTATTCGAATAGTTCATGTTTAGTATGCAACGAATGGCAAAATAATCCGGATGTTATCGTTTCTTCTTCAATAGATTTTCCATGTCGTACTGTAAGTAATAATGTTCTATTATCATCATTGTCATCATTATCATCAAAATCATTATCAAGAAAATCATTATCATCATTACCAACAGTTAATAATAATAATAATAACGATTGTTTTAAATCAAAAAAAATTACAAAAATAAAAACAACAAATACAACACCAAGAACACCAACAACAACAACTGTTATATCTAATGAATATTTTATTAAAAATAATAAAAAAATATCAAAAAATAATAATAATTTAAATGAATCAAGTTATAATATAATAGAAATAAATAATAAGAATTCATTAAATTGCGAATCATGTAAAAATTCTATAAGATATGAAAAAAAATCAATATCCAATAATAATGATTTTCTTCAAGATTCATCAAAATGTGCTACTATAGATGAAAGACATACTAATAATAATAATAATAATGATAATAATTATAAATTGTCATCACCAATATTTAATAGCCGTGAATGTGATAAAAAATTCCAATATACCGGAAAAATCAATTCTAAATTTCATGAAAATAATAATGATTTTAATAATGGTAATAATGAAATAATTTTTTCTTCTAATAATAATAATGATGATTATAGAACAGAATTTTTAAAATTCAATGGTAAAGAATATGATAAAAAGAATAATTTTAAACAAAAATTAATAAAACAAATTAATTTTGATGAAGAAATCGATAATGAAATCAAAATTTGTAGTAATTGTTGTAGTAGTAGTAGTAGTAATATTAGTAGTATTCAACAACACAAAGAATCACCACCAATAAGGTGATTTGTTTTTTTTGTTTTTAAATTTGTTATAAAATTTTCACTTAAATTGCGCTTCACATTTCTTTTATAAAAATATATTAAAAGAGCCAAAAATTAATTATTCTAATTTCGAAATTAATTATGTATAAATATAAAAAAAAAATGTCAAAAATTTCCATATGCATAATAAAAATAAAGCCATTTTTTAACCCGATTAATAAAAGTCTTTAACAATTTTTTCAATTATTAAAACAGCAAATCGCCATTAATTAAATTTTTCAAATCTTGTCTAAAAAAATATTCACTTACTCTTTTTTAACTGTTCTAATATATAGAAATAAAGGTACAAATAAAATTATTAATTAAGAACAAAAAAAAAATTTTTTTATTTAATTTTACAATTAAAATTGTTATTTTAAAAAATATCAAAAAAAAAATTTTAATTAAAAAAAAAAAATTTTTTTCTTTTTTTCTTCCATAATTTTTCTTTACAGTGAAAATAAATTAATTCGTCGCCGGAGAGTAATAATTAGAAATCATAACGGAACAAATTCAAAAAATGATAAAATAAATTTAGAAACAACAACAATAACAAAAGAATTAACAAATAATAATAGCAACAATCAAATTAATAATAGAAATTTTTTAAAAAAATTAAAAAATAATAAATTTTATATTTGGTTTATTCAATTACTAACCTATATAATTGCATTAAATTATGTTCAAAGGATTATTATTCCAATATTATTAAATTTAATTAATTTATTAAATTATTTATTTAAACCAATTGATATATTCATAATAAATAAAATGGGTTATATTAGATCAATGAAATTAAAAGAACGTTTAGCAATTGGATTAGGTGCATCATTAATATTATTTACATTATTATTGGTCGTTGATCTACAAATGGATTTTGGTGTTGCTAATCGACATTTAGTACGTACAGCACATGGAAAATTTCAATATTATAGTAGTAGTGAGAAAAATTCAAATACTCTAGGGGGAAGTGGTGGTGGAGGAGGAGGAGGAGGAGGAGGTGGTGGTACTGGTACTGGTACTGGTGCTGCTGGAGTATTTAGAGATTTTAAAAGAAAGTTCCTTCAAAAAAGGTAAGTCAAATAAAATTTTTTGTATTTATTTTTACAATTTATTTTATAAATATTTTGTATTCTTAGAATTTGGGATAGTAGCCAATTTTTGATTTGTTTGTGTTTCTCTTTTGTATTTTCTTCTTGTTTGGTTTAAATTACCATATTTGATGTTTCTTTTCATGTTTTACTTTCTTATTAAGCAACAAAATAATAAAAAAAATTTCGATACTTTGTAAATCGTCATAAATTAATTAAAGCCTAAATATATAAAGTGTGTTTTTCTTACTTTTTCAAGTGATTTCTTCTACTTCTTTTTTTTTCTTGTTTTTTTTTTTCGTATAGAACACAAATATTTGTGTATTTTCTTCATAATTTCATTTACACACTTTTGAGTAGGAAAAAAGTTTTCCTCAAATATCAAAAACATTTTATTTTTTTGTTTCTCTTTTTCATTTCATTTTCATTTTTGGACTCTTTTTTTTTTTTTTTCTTATTTTTCTCAACTTCATTAATAACTCAACAAGTTGTTGTATTCCCAAGCACGAACTTGAGACTTTTCCTATTTTCTCAATATGTTTTCTTTTTATATTGGAATCGATTGAATTTCAATTAACTAAAATCAATAAACAAACACTAGATATACATATATATATATATATTTATTAAAAAAAAAAGGCACAAAATGGAAACAGACTGGGTGGGGAAAACCAAAAATAAAAAAAAAAGTTCCATTTTCAGTTTACCAAAAAATTTTCTTAATGTATTTATCAAATAACCGGAAAATATAAGACGAAAAGTTTTCCGTTCTTAGCAAACTGTTATACTAAAAAAAAAAACAGAAGCAGTAACAGAAAAAAAAAATAAAATCCTCATAGGGAAAATCCTTCCTTTTGAGAAAACTTTTGACTTGTTTCAACCGTGAACCAAATATAAAAGTATATAAAAAAAAAAAAAAATATGTAGAATAAAAGGAAAAATAAAATAGAGAGAAAGAAAAAGACGAAATGAATAAAGTTATCGACCTAATCGAAAAGATACACACTGAAAATCTATGATGAACAGCAAACAAAATTTTCTAAATACACAAACATAATTCACTAACAAATTTACTTCAAAGCCACCTCAGGATTGGTTTTTAAGGTTTCACTTAATTTTCTTCTCATTTTTTTTTTATTAGTTTTTCTTTGATTTTATTTTTTTTTTTTCTTGGTATAGTTTTCATAAATTTTTTACTGACAATTTTGATGAAAATGATGATTCTATTTTAAGGTACTCAAAAATATAATTGGTATAGAAGGTTAAATAGATTTTTTTTTCTTTTAATGTTCAAATTGAATAATAAAGTTGGAAAATTTTCATTTACCACACCTATAACTATAATAAATTTATTTAGTTCGTATATGTACGTATATAAGTTAAAGATCCCTCTCTCTCTCTCTCTCTCTCTCTCTAATATGTAATTAGAAATTTGAAAAACTAATCATGTGAGAAATTTCATATAGACATTCTTGAATAGTGTATAGAAAATCTTAAAATACCTAGTTACCTTTTTTTTGCAATTTTCAATTTTAAAATTCATGTAGAATAAATTTTTTCTATCTTCTTTTGTTTCTTTGAGTTGGTAAAAGAAAAATTCACATAAAATACCCTAAGATATGAGTAAAGAAAAAAAATTTTTTGTTTTTTTTTTGTACAAACAAAAAAAACCTATGTAATACTTAAAAACCAAGAAAATATTCATTTTTAATGACATATGCTATTTGGAAAACCTAACAATACCAGACATTTTTATGTGTTTTGTAAAAAAGAAATTTTCTTATTTAATTCTTACATTGTATTTATCTTTTACTTGAGAAAATTTCAATTAGATTTTTTTGAATATAATTTTCTAATTTTTATTTTCTAGTATGTTATACTTACTTTTAAGTGAAGTGTATTATGGTATACAGTGACGGATTTCCTATTTAACAAAATATAAGCAATTGCAAAGGGCGCTGAAAACCAGGGCGCCATACATATTTTTCTTAACTTTGCCCCAGCCTGAGTTACTCAAACATTTCTTTCTGTTTATAACGTAATTAACTTGATACAATGTACCTATATACAAACATTGCAAAACAAAAAGCTAAAATTTTAATTCCAGCTTTTAGTTCTATAACTTATTTTGCACTAGGCAAGAAAAAGGAACAAAATAGGTTTATTATGCGTAATAATTGCATTAAAAGCGAACAAAATTGCACAAAAGCGAAAGTGTGGCGAGGCCGTCACACTTTCGGGAAATCGAATAAGACAGAACCGTCCCGATGGTACATATATATAATAATGTGTATAGAGGAAAATGTACAATAATCTCATAAAAATCATATAATAGTAATACAGAAACATTATATCCTTTCTAAATTGAAAACATTTAGATTTTTTATATATAGTTCTTGTCTAGTGTCTTTATCTTCTATTTTACTCTATATAATATTACGTCTTCTAAAAAGGAGATGTAATAGTAGTAGCTGCAGTAGCAATAGTACCAAATAGCAAGTCCAAGAAATCCAATTTAAGTAAAAAAAATCAATCGAAAGTAATTAAAAACAATGTAGAAAGATTTTTTAACTTAATTTTTTCTTCTTCTCTCTTTAAAAACTTCTATAGTAGAATAATGGGAATTAAAAATATTGTATAGGGACTAACTATATAGAGTTTTAAAGAAAAGAAAAGAAATTTATCGGAATTTTAGTAAACCAAGCAATTATCTTTTTAGTTATGTTTTGAATGGAATTGGTGTAATGTCGAATGATTAAGAGAAAAAAAGACGTATGTAGTGTAAAATAAATAAATTGATGCTAAGAATTTTTATGTTAAATTTTAAAAAGAAAAGGAGGTAAAAATTTTTGATTCCAAGTAAAAGAAACTAAAATAGAAAAAGAAAAGAAATTTTATGATATCAAAGAAATGAGTTTTCAAATAAAGGCGATTAAAAATTTTTTACATGTACAGCATTTAAATGCAATCGATAAAAATCGAATCAATTTGGGAAATAAACTTGGATTAGACTAATTGTTTGTAACAAAGAACATTTCTGTTGAATAATTTAAATTTTTAAATAAATTTACTAGTAATTTTAATGGAAATCTTGTTCTATTGAAAATTTGAAATTATTATTTCTTTCCCTTTGTTACATCTTATGCAGCTTACTACCGCTTCATATCATTATTATTGTTGAATTTAAAAAATTAATAAGTAACTAAAATGAATGATTTTCTTTAGTAAGTGTTATCTTCTTATTTTGATAGAAGCTTTACGATTCGAAATAAGAAGGCAACACTGCGAAAAGAAATAAACTGACAAATTTTGAAAGATAACTATACAAAGTATTTGAAATATTAATAAGAAAAGCTTTACTTTTGAGTTTACGAGTTTGCCGTTTATAAAAATATTATTTCTAAAAGATTTAAAAAAATGATGGATAACGATTAATTTGGACAGTTTTTTTCATATAACCTTCTTCTTTATGCTTATGTAAACTCGTTTTGGAAGAAAAAAAGTTACTTTTTTCCCCCGTTTAGAGAATATTTTAAATAATATGATTTTGGCATAATAAGTGATTTGAAATTAAAACTCTTAAAATTCCAATAGGATTTGTCCTACAAAAAGAGTACAAAAATTTGTCCTTTGTAGTACAAAAAGAGTTCCAAAAGTGCAAAAAGAGAAAAATTATTCTTTTCTCACTAAAATGTCCACCATAATAATATTAAAAATTCGAATATCAAGTAAAGACGGACAAACAGGCCAATAAAACTTATTTTCATTTTCCTTTTGTGTTAAATACAAAATGAAGCAATTTTTAAGGAAAATCAACTCTGAAATTCTATTCAATCTTTCTGTTAGCGCCATGTTACACTCATATAAGGCTTTTGTTGTATACTTTTAATTCACACATTTTGCTGCCACATATATCTACTGCACTTAGTAGCATTTATTTTCAACAGATGGCTTTTATGTTTACCTATTTTAGACACAATATATGTGATGTAATTAGAAATTTACACAACAGTAATAGCTACAGTAAAATCTTAGAACATTTCATTTATAAATTTATTTATTAACATTTTAAATACGAGTTCTAGGAATACGAATCGTTTTTAATTGAAAGAATTGCATTTATTTCAAGTGCATAAAGGTTAATTATCTTCTTTGTTTTTTTCTTTCAATAATTCCATAATTATAGTGTAGTCTATACAGACACCATATTTATTAGAGTTAAAAAGAAATTCTGCGTAACATTTTATTAATAAATTTTTCAATTCTAACATTGTATGTATAATGTATACGATACTATAAAATTTACTCAACTATTTTTTTTTTTCATTGTAAAGTCAAAACATCTTCCCTTATTATTATTCATTTTATAAATATGTAATTATCACGTAAAATCACTTAATATAAGGAAGTTTGAGCTTCAATAATGAAAATTTATATTTCAAATTTCCTATTTTAACTTTTGCTATGCGAGCATACACACACACATATTATTATTTTCCACAGTACCTTATGGTTTTCAAAGTGTTAATAATTGAGTTTTAGCATAAAAAAAATTAAAATGATAAACTATAACTTTTCCACATGTTGTGTAAATGCACGTATGGTATATGTGGTAACAAATTTACAATAATATTCCATATATAAATATAAAACAATTTTTAATGGTAACTTACCTTGCATTCTTCTATATTAAAATTTGTATATATTTGCACGTTATGTAAAATTTTATTTCAGTATAATGCGAAAATTATGAAGTTACATTGTATATTATTCTCTTGTTATACTTCTGAGGAAATATTTCATGTTTTTTTTTGTGTTTTCAATTTAATATAGTAATAAACTTTAAAATTAATCTATATAAAGATGTCCAAATGTATGTAGGTAAGCATGTTCACATATGTATGTATATAACGTATTAATATAATAAATCGCCATTTAGAATTTTCTTAATAGCTCTTCCAATTATTTGCAAAATGTTTCTT